CCTCCCCTCCCCCCCACCTCCAAAAGGGGAATTTTCCAGCTGGTAATTTCTGCTGCGTCAACATCCAGCTCAAGGGAGTGGAGAGGAGACAAGGGGGCATTTTCACAGCAGCTCCACTTCGCAAAATAATCATCCCGTCTATGCTGATAGATATATTTAATTAAAAAACAACTTTTAAAAAATAAGCATCTGTGCAAGTTGGACCAAGAGTTAGTCAAGAGAGAGAGAGAGTGCCACCAAACTGCTTGGGCGAAAAAGGGATGAGGTAATAATGCTGGTGAAACATGTATATTTCCCCTCTTGCTTTCTCTTTCTGCCCCTTTAAAGCCATGCCGGTTCTGTTTTGGGTTATTGTCTCTTCCCCTAAAGCCAGGCACAGATCGCCTGGTCTTGCCTCCATTTTAATTGCAAACGGGAAACATTGAAAGTGTTAAACCCCTATATCGTTAAACCCAGCCTCAAAATATAGTTTCTCTTTTTCCCTGAAGCTCTGCAAGTTGCTCAATATGTTTGTAACAAGGGACTGATTTGAAAATACATGCAGGTAAGGACCTTTTAATGGGAGAGCCATCCTTAGAAAATGATTAATAGAGAAAAAAAGAAGTTACATGGTTCTTTTTAAAAAAGAAAAAGGAAGTAGTGGTGTTGGAGAGTTTTCAAAGTTATTGTTGTCTTTTTGTATGTGTAAATAGATATGTTAGTTCCATAGAAGTAATGCAGGTAGCATTTTATAATGCAATCCCAGATGACAAATAAGGCATAAAGAAGATTTCCCATAGTATAACGGGGAAGAAGGATTGACTGGAATAAAATGAGTAATCAAATACTTAAGCAGAGCAATATATTTTAAATTTATGATAAGAAATGTGTACGCAAGAACAGATTCATTCTTAATTGAGTTTTCTTCCTATATTCAATTTCTTAAATTTGTTTGGCATGGAGTACTGAGAGGATTATCAGCTTTGTTTTAAGATATTATAAAAAGGATATTATTGCAAGTGATGCTCTTGAAAGTACCTGTACTGTACTGAAATGGTTGTATGTATTATAAAGCAGTACTTGAATGGTATCACTATACACACACAAATACACACTGTATATATGTGTGTGCGGGGGGGGGGTGCTTCTATTTTAAGAGGCTTTCTCCAAAGAGAAAAACTTTTGATTAAAAAAAAGCACAAATGTTCAAAAACTTGGAAGAGTTTCTTTTTCCATGTGTGTGAAACTTTGGCTGTTCTGGGTTCCTTTAAATAAATATAGCATATTTCACAAATGAAAGAATAATATTGGACAGCCAATTCTATTTTATTGATTGGCTGATTTGGAATGAATTTACAGCAGTTGAAAAAGCTACTACTTGTCAAGTTCATTCTTGAAATCTTTTTATGCGATACAATGTATATGTGCACATGTCTGGAGTTTACAGTTTCAGTAGAAAAGAATATATGTAGCTCAGGGTTGAACTGTGGAGCACCAAGGACTCCACAGTTTACAGTTTTAATTTATGTAATGAAAAATTATTGCCTAACTATATCACATGACAGATTGCATTCTGTAAAATACTTGTGTCTTGATTTAGAACTTGTACTGTGCTGCATTTAAGATTTCAGACTTAGAACTAATCGTGGCTATCGTTTACTTTGATGAGATACTAATTTTGCAGTTGGTAGATTAGATCACTGATTGAAATTTCATTCTAATAGAATGGGTTTACTTCAGGTTCTGATGTATCATTTATTATATGCAGCTTTTTTAAAATCTGACCCAAATAATGTATCTGGTCTTTTCAAAAGGACAGTATTTGCTAATTAGGTATAAACTTTTTAATAACTGATGTGGAATATACAGGTCTAAGAGAAAAAAGGAAATGGGCCATATTGTCCCTATGGCTTGTATTTTAGGGCATCTGTATAGTAGTAATTATGCTCTTTTCCAGGTGATGTATTTAAAAGAGATGCTTGAGTAATTTTATGATACAACCTTGGCACACTTTTTGTGAGGAAGCTAGGATAGTACATTACTAACTAAAAAGAAGCTAGCATTGACACCATAAAGAAATTTCCTTTTCTATCTTATGTGAACCCTTTCAATGAAATACCGCATTTTCTCATAATGTTCTAATTAATGAAAGATTGTGCACGTAATTTTTCTCATTCTAGCTTCTTACGTAAAAGTAATTTTAAGAATTCCCAGCATCTAAAATTCCCATTTTCACCCTTGTTTCTTATGGCATCCTCCTTCAGATCACAGCTTGAGTTTCCTGCACTATTTTGGCTATATTCTTAAATTAATTGGTAAATAAAAGGATAAAAATGCTTAGTTAAAATCTTTGAAAGGCTCCTTTTATCTACTGTATCCCTTTATCTCCTTTTAGTTATCCTTTATGCTCATAATTCCCTGAATTATTACTTTTCTATGTAGAAAACTCTGACAGTTTGCACAACAGGATTAGTAGACTATTTGATGAATTCTCAAATTCCTGTAGTCATATACCAGTTGGTTTAAGGCAAATAGAGTTATTCTCACAAAATCAGTCAGTTGAACTGTTTAAGCATTTTTCAAATAATAAAAATACAAATTAAAAACTTAAAGCTTAACTTTCAAAGTTACATTGCAGTAGTATTAAAAAGCCAACAACATTTTCAAGAATATATATTGCCAAATTAATATTTCACATTTGTTTTAAAAACAGATTATTAGCTTACTGATTTGTAAGAATTCCATGGACATAATTAATTTTGATTTTAATACAATGGTCAAAAGAATCGTCCATTGTGTTTTAGCTTGCAAAACAAGTAATTGTGGGTGTATACATAATTACTTGGAAAACAGGACTCAAAAGATGTAGTCCCCATAATATTCTAAAGTAAATGGTTTGTCTTATGTGAACCTACTCTTTGTATCCATTAACTATGTTCCATGTCTTATGTTGTAGAAAGACAATGGGGTCATACAGTGTATGGTTAAACAACCATAGGACAGTACATGAATCCAACCAGCAAGTGCTTATAGAAGTGTGATTGGGATGCTGGGTTCAGATCATATTTATTAGTGATAGTTGATCAAATGGATTCTATCCAAGTTTGCAGATGACAAAGCCAGAATGGACAGGTATTATCTCAGTTAATGAAAGTAAAATTTAAATAATTGTGTTAGAATGAAAACCTGGAATTAGCATAAAATAAATTAGAAACAATGTGAAATTTAGCATTAGTTAAAGAAAGGGGTGTAGGATATAGAAACTTTTGAAAGCCATATGTTTGAAAAAAATGGGATTGCTTTTTATCACAAATGAAAACTAAACATGAATAGACAATAGTCCACTGGGGGGGGAAAAGCCCAGTGTGTTATATGGCACATTAAAACAACGACTGTACAAAGCATTGGAAGTAATCATTCTACTTTATTCTGCATTTCACATGTCTTATCTGAAATACTGGGTCCAGATCTAGGGTATTGCTGGGTATTTTAATAAGAGGGTAGAAAAATGGGTTTAGAGGAGGGCATTAAGAATAGTCAGCAGTACAGAAAGGAAGTTATACTTTAATGTTATGGAAGGTTAAAGAACTGGGTGCATTTAGTTCAGGCTTCCTTAAGGTGGGTACCCTCCAGATGTATGGACTTCCATTCCCAAAATTCCCCAGCCAGCATGAACATTGGGGAAAATTCTGGGAGGTGTCCACATATAGAATCCCAGGATTGTAAGGACTATCAAGTCCAGTCCCTTGCTCAGTGCAGGTTAGTATTCATTTGGAGGGTTCCCAGTTAGTTAAAGCTTACTTAACCCTCAGAGGAGAAGGCAGAATGGAGAATGGGGATATAATTGCTCTTTTCAAATACCTAACGATTGCTACAAGGAAGTAGACTTGTTCTTTTCTGCCTAGATCTAATGAGTTTAAATTAAGGGAAAGTAAATCTCAATGTGAGACATTAGGAAACATATCTGAATAGTAAAACAGATAAATAGAGAATACAACCATTTATCTAGGATGCCACAGGGCTTTCTTTTACTGAAGTTCTTAAAGAAGAGGCTGAACAACAATCTTTTGGGATGCTCAAATTCTGAATCTCGTATTTAATAAGGACGTTGGACAAAATATCCTACAAGGTATCCTCCAACTTTGTTTCTATGATAGGATATAATAACTAGTCATATATTTACATATATTAATTACAAAGTTGTTCTTCAGGTGTACATCCTTGTAAAACCACACTAGCAGCAACCATGTACTGAATAAGAGGGAGGTATTTGCACCTTTTGGGTACGGGGTATTTTCAGAAATATAAACAAATTTGAAGAAATAGGATTGTAACCTGGGAAACCAGGGAAGAATGGGAATATCTTGGAAGAATCTTATTTTGAACCTTGCAGAATAATATTCTACACTGCAGCTTTGGTAGTGGTCATACATTATACTAAGCCTGTGTTATTTTGTAAATCTATCCATTGTGATTTAGCATTATGGGTGATCCAGGATACTATGGTTTCTTCAACACCAGTGATTTAAAAATTTCTTGTTTATTGTGATGTGTAATTCTAGCCACTATTTCAGATTCCACTTGTATACTGTACAGTCAAATAGAACTTAAAAGTTTACAGTTATTTTCTTTGCTTGTTTGCTTTCTCTCTCTTTCCCCCCATATGCTGACAACATAAATGAGATTATTTTTCCAGCATTGGCCTTGCTTTCTTCTATCTCTTGCATTTTTGATAGGAAAACAAAGAAATCATGCACATGGCTTGCATACTTTTAAGAAAAATAAGTGTTGTAACTTAGTATAGTTTACAGTCTTTCCCTCAAGACTGAGATGGCTTAAGGAGTTCTGGCATATTTCTCATGTAAAGTTTAACAAGTCTTAAGAAGAATCTTACATCTTTATTAGCAGTGCTTAACTTGTGCGATATAATTTTAAGAAATAATACATTTAAATGTACATATATTTAACATTTTAACTAAGATATACTGTAATCCTGTACATTTTGTTGAATCTTTGAATACTTTTTGATTGAATTTTAAGAAAAACTGCTTTCATTTATGTCTAATTGTTCCTAAATTATTTTGGCTGAGATTCTAATTTCAGTAGCAACCATAGCATTATTAGACCAGCATTGATTCACAGCTGTGCTCACTTCCATGTATACAGAGAACTGTCCAGAAGAAATGTTTTGGCTAGTGCATTACATCAAAAACAAGATAGTTTTTATTTGCAGCCGCAGATTAATATTGCTGTAGTGATTGTGGTACCTGCTCATCAGCAAAGTTGTGTTTGGCATGACTTTAAAACTGATGGAGGCTCACTTTGTTTGGGGGGTCAAATAGCTGGTCTTCAGATCAAAAGACATCAAGTAATGTTTGGATTTTCAATGGCAACAATTTAGCCCTAACTGTTACTAGCACATTTTTGAAGAGTAGTATGTTTGGGCTGCCTTATAGGATGAGTATTGGGGGATCTTTCCACAACATGCTAAATTCAGTCCACCACTAATCCTGTCAAATCTCCTTACTGGTAGCTCTGGCAATACACAACTGTACTATCTGAGCCCCACCGGCTTTGGATCTGGTGTAGGCAACCTTGCTCTTCCTTTCAGCTGCTCTGGCTGCTTCTTAAAGATGTATCTTTTCCTGGCACAGGATACCCATGCCAGAACCAAAGTATCTTTGCCCAGTTTGGATCTGAATACTGTACTGCACATATCTACTATTAAATTTCCATTGGCCCACTGACGGTAAAACCTTCATTTATTAGATTAAAATCCTACCTTTTCTCCAGGCCAGTCTATGAAGTGGTATATGGAAGTGGTGGAAACAAGGATAATTTGCAAGGATAAAAAAGTATGGAGAAGAATTGTGAATAATGACAGTATAAATATACAGTATTAGCTATATTTCCTTTTATTATCTCATACCTTTAATTTCTTTGGCATATTTCTTACTACTTGTCTCTGCTTTGCATAATATTCTCTACTCCAAATGCAAATAGCTGATAGGTTTATATGTATATGTGTCTATGAATCAACTATCTAGTCCCAAAAGCCTGATTCAGAAGAAGAAAAGTTTTTTTTCAGACAAGAAGAATGTTAAAAGCAAGAAATCTTTTCTCTCAAGGAGAAAACAAAAAGACAGGCTTGGATCCAAACACTTTCAGAAGGATAAAAAAGATCTGATGGTAAAATCTTGAGAAGTGGTTATTCCTCCTCTTAATATTATAAACTTCAGTCATGCAAAAAAGTGAATGGAAGAAGATTCGAGATAGACAAAAGGACATCCTTTTCAAAGCATGTAGCCAGCTTATGGAATTCATTTCCCTGTGATATAGCAATGGCTACCAAGGTGGACAGCTTTAAAAGGGATTAAACAAAGTAATGGAGGATAAGACAATTAATGATGCTTGTATACTTCTTTCAGATCTGAGATAGCATGCCTCTGACTGCCAGTCTTTGGGGAATAATAGCAGAGAAAGACTGTTGCTTTTGTGGCCTGTTTATGTATTCCCATAGGAACTATAGACACAGGATGCTACACTAGGCAGCTTTTCGGTCTGATCCAGCAGAGTTGCCCTTAATACTGCATTAACAAAATAACGTTCACCTAAATTGAAATATGTGTTTAAAAGTTATTACACCAATATTAAGAGTAATGATGTACTCATCAAGATTATTATATTAATGTTGGTTGGGGGAGAGTTGTATGAAATAATGGTTCTCTTTTTATGAACATGTACAAAATATTTAAGCAAAGGCAAGTCAAATCAATCAGAATCTCTCTAGTTTTAATTGTTATGTGTTAATGAGAGATCTGAACATTTGTTGTCAAAACAATCTCTCATATAACAAATCATTGCATGTTTGCTCTAATAGAAATGTATGAAATGCTTCTGAAAAGTAGTCAGACTTGCATTTCATGGAATTCTAAAAAGCAAGAACTTTTAAAACTCAGCTTGTGTCTTCTCCTGGTTCTCACACAAAAGTTCAAAAGTATAGTCATATAATCCTAGATTGAAAAAAAACAAAAAACAACCTGGCACAAAGCACTTCCAGCATAGGTAAGGGGTCAGATTATCTGGGTAGTCATAGCAAGGGGTGAGTGTACTTTGAACTCACCCCTTGCTATGACTACCCAGATAACCTGATTCTAGGTCAGTCTGTTACAGATATTGTTTCAACATGTGAATGTTCTTAAACTCAGGTCTCCAGCGAAGCACAAGTGGCACTGGTCAAGCCTGATTACAGATGCCAGCCCACTTAGGTATAATGGTCTACGCCCAAGGTGTTACTCAAAGCATCCTGTCACTTTTCTATCTCTCTGCTGTTTGGCTGTCAGTATGGATTTGAAGATCATGTTACTATGTCAAGATCAGTATCCAGGTTTACAAGCCAGAGGTAGAAAAAGCCTGTTCTGCTGAGAGTTGGAAGAGATTAGGTTTGCTGGTTTAGTTAGTTAAACAGTTTATTGTGTTTAGCTAGTGGAAATTAGCCCGGTAATTCTTGTATATTTGATCTAGATTTGAAATTAGTAATAGTGATAATACTATGCATTTCTGTCCAGGATTCCTGCATGCCTACCATGCTCTCCTCCAAGATATTTGGATTATTGTTGCTTGCTTGCTATACATGAGGCTGCCTTTAAAAAGACCATTCAAAAACTACAAGCTGGTTCAGCATGGGGCAGCCTGGTTAGTTATGGACACACTAAGGTTTATCCATATAATACCTCTCCTGGAGGAGCTGCATTGGTTGCTAGTTAGCTTTCACATGCAATTCAAGGTGTTGATTGTGGTCTTTAAGCCATATATGGCTTAGGGGCCTGGTATCTCCAAGATAACCTGTTCCGAGGGGAAAGAAGGAATATTAAGAGGCCCTTTGCTGAGATAATGCTCTCTTCAAGGACCCTTATTTATGCTTTCTTATTCCTTTAGAACACCTTTGGAACACCTTTCCCTTGGATATAAAGACTTTCCCTTCCCTGTTAAGTTTTTGAGGAGCCTTGAAGACCTGGAGGTCATTTGGCATATAGATGGAATACTGAAGTACGCCTGAGTGGGTGCCTTTTCTTTTTTGTTGGACAGAGTATCTTGGGTGTTTGCTGTTCCTTGCTCCTTGTAATATGTACTGTATTGTTTTAATGTATTACTGCAAACACTGTAAGTCTCTCAGAGACTCCTGATTGGAGACTTTTTTCTCCTATGGCTTTATCTTTCTACCATTTCTTAGATTTCCCTCCTCCCTATTTTTTACATTTTTGTGCATGTTAAGGCTACTGCATCTTATGCTGTGCATGTTGTTTGAGTAGCGTAAGCAATAGCACACACATGCTTATTGCTTGAATGTAACAAACAGAGGGACGTTTTTATTTCCAGTATTCCAAGTCATCTTAACAATAGAATGTTAATAATTTTAATTAATACTGCACAAATAATATTGTATTGAAACAATATAATATATCAAAATTTATAACAATATAATACAGTAAATGGGAAAAGACATGGGATAAGGCTTACTTGAAAATTGCTGGTTATCATCAAGGATTGTTCACCTGTGATTCTCATTTTGAACATGTAAACAAACTGAGGTTGAAGTGAATTTATGTATAGCTTTCTCAGGACGTAGTTTGTTGATGTAGTCTAAGGATAATTTCTTCCCAGAGAGGTACTGCTATCTCTCTGGAAATACAGAATCCTTCCACATGTTTAGTTTCTGTACTTGATTTCAGCAGTAGCTTGATGTGATCTTTTCACACTATAAATTTAAATTCTTTTTTCCTTCAAAGTGGTAGTAACTACATCACACTTCTCTTAATTATGTTTGAAAGGTTCATAGGTACAAAATGTTTGGGTGATGATTAAAATGATTTTAATACTGTACCTTATACTCAGCTTTTAAACGAGAGCCAGTTTGGTCTAGTGGTTAAGGCACCAGGCTAGAAACCAGTAGACACCGAGTTCTAGGTTTACCGTAGGCATGAAAACCAGCTGGGTGACTTTGGGCTAGTCATTCTCTCTCAGCCCATGATGTCAGGCTTGGGCAACATGCCAGTTGGTCAATGCCTATTGCAACCAACAGATCAACATTCGGTTGATCCGAAAAAAGCAGATCCTGCTCCTGCAGGAAAATACTAGAAAGAAAAAAAGATATTCAGCTTTTAAACAACAACAATAGTTGTACAGTACATTGATGAGCCAAGCTTGCTTAGTCCAAGTTACTCCTCAGAGCTGAATCAAACCATGGTAAATGTACCTTTGAAATGGTTTTAAGAAATGCTAATAGCTTAAATGTAGAATGTTGATCATTACTGGGATTTTAGCAAATATACTGGTTTTAACCTTCACCTTCCATCAGTGACCCCAGTTTGACATTGATATTCCTGTCTGCATTGAGAGAAAATTGTCCATTGGTGCCAGGATTTCTCTTCAGTGCAATCAAAGCTGAGGATTGTCCTCAAGACTGCAGCAAAGGTTTAAATGGCCCCTCTTTTTGTGTTGCAATGCCAATAAATGCATATGTTTAGATGGTTAACATTTAAAAAAAAAAGATACCTAACATTTATAGATATATTTTAATCTACTTTTTAGTTTGGCTTGGCCCTCAAGTACTAATGAGAACATGTGGCAAAAATAGTCAATTCTATTTCAAAATGAATGTTTAATTAGTGATTCAAAACTAGAAACTTTTAAATGTTTCTGAATTGTCTGTGGTGATCTACATAGTATGATGGTTCATTTAACATGTTAATGTCTCTATTTCTTCCTCACAGAGTGTGCAGACCTGGGAGTGCAAATATTTCTAAATGAATAATCGAAAGGAAGACATGGAGATTGCCTCCCATTATCATCATCTGCTTCAAGAACTCAATGAACAAAGGCAGCATGGTATCCTCTGTGATGTTTGTATTATAGTGGAGGGAAAGATTTTCAAGGCTCATAAAAATATTTTGCTTGGGAGTAGTCGTTACTTCAAGACATTGTATTGTCAGGTGCAGAAGACCTCTGACCAAGCAACAGTCACTCATTTAGATATTGTAACAGCACAGGGGTTTAAAGCAATCATTGACTTCATGTATTCAGCACATCTTGCATTGACCAGCAGGAATGTTATTGAGGTGATGTCAGCTGCTAGCTATCTTCAAATGACTGATATTGTGCAAGCTTGTCACAATTTCATAAAGGCTGCTCTTGACATAAGCATAAAGTCTGATGCATCGGATGATCTTATTGATTATGAATTTGGGGCTTCCTCTAGCAGCAATACAGATGCTCTGATTTCTGCTGTGGTAGCTGCTAGGAGCATATCTCCCTGGTTGGCTCGAAGGACAAGCCCAGCAAACTCCTCTGGTGATTCAGCTATTGCTAGTTGTCATGAAGGAGGAAGTACATATGGAAAAGAAGATCAAGAACCAAAATCAGATAGTCATGATGACATTTCATCCCAGTCTCTTTGGTCTAGTGATTTGGGCTATGGGACTTTGCGTATCAAAGAAGAACAGATCTCTCCACCTCATTATGAAGGAAATGAATTACAGTCTGCCAAAGATAGTGCAATGCAGAATGCTTTCTCAGAACAAGGAGCTGCAGATGGGTGGCAGCCTACAGGGCGTAGAAAGAATAGAAAAAATAAGGATACTGTGCGCCATATTACACAACAACTTGGAGTTGACAGTAGGACAACCTCACCAGTGCCACCCTTTCTAACTGCCCCTGGATGGCCATACAGTAATCAAGAAGCAAGTAAGAATGTTTCATTCAATTTCTATGCAATTATATAATACGCATGAATACAGTGGGGCAAAAAAGTATTTAGTCAGCCACCAATTGTGCAAGTTCTCCCACTTAAAAAGATGA